GTCTGTGAGTGTGAGTATGTGAGTGTGTGTGTCTGTGAGTAAGTGCGAGTGTGTGGGTGTGAGTGTGTGAGTGTGAATACGGTCTTATGTCCCCTTTCACATAGTGTGTGTGTCTGTGTGTGTGTGTTCAGTCGGGGGTCTGATGGATTTCGATGACTTCTGTGAGTTAATGGGCCCCAGGATGATGGTGGAGACGGCGGATATGCTCGGCCTCAAAGAGATCAAGAGCTCCTTCCATCAGGTCAGACATCCGTGTCTAATTCATTCCTTCTAAAGCTTATATTAAATAACGGTTGATAAAACAAATAACGCAACATGCAAAAAGGTTGGGGTCAGAAACAAATTGACACTTTTATTCATCAGGGACGCATTAAATTGATCAAAAGGGACAGTATAGACATTTATAATGTTACAAGCAGGATTTAAAGGTGGGAGAGCCTATGGAGGAGTTGATGGTGGAAAAATCCAAGGAGAAATGGATGGCCGACGAGATCCCAGAGAGACAGCCATGATGGAGGTGACCAATGGCGACAGTGATGGAGGGAGGAGCCAGGGTGATCCTTAGAGCCCAACCGACTGAGGTGACGAAAGGAGATGGTGAAGCTCAGGCGACATCCGATGGACCAAGAGACTCAGTGACATCGACGGACCGGGAGACCAAAGCAGAGTCCCAGCAACGAGTGGCCGAGGTGGTGCCCAGGCCCGGAAGGACTGAGGCGATGTGAGTGAGGACTGTGAGCCTGGTGGAGCTGGTGGAATGAGGAAGCCTGGTGCAGCCGGTGGGACAAGGGAGCCTGGTGGAGCTGGTGGAATGAGGGAGCCTGTAGGAGCCAGTGGGACGAGGGAGCCGGTGAAACGAGGGAGCCGGTGGAACGAGGGAGCCTGGTGGAGCTGGTGGAATGAGGAAGCCTGGTGGAGCCAGTGGGACAAGGGAGCCTGGTGGAGCCGGTGGGACGTGGGAGCCTGGTGGAGCCGGTGGGACGAGGGAGCTGGTGGAACGAGGGAGCCTGGTGGAACGAGGGAGCCTGGTGGAGCTGGTGGAATGAGGAAGCCTGGTGGAACGAGGGAGCTGGTGGAACGAGGGAGCTGGTGGAACGAGGGAGCCTGGTGGAGCTGGTGGAATGAGGAAGCCTGGTGGAGCCAGTGGGACAAGGGAGCCTGGTGGAGCCGGTGGGACGTGGGAGCTTGGTGGAGCCGGTGGGACGTGGGAGCCTGGTGGAGCTGGTGGGACGAGGGAGCCGGTGGATGTGGGGGACGTGGGAGCCTGGTGGAGCTGGTGGAATGAGGGAGCCTGGTGGAGCCAGTGGGACGAGGGAGCCGGTGAAACGAGGGAGCCTGGTGGAGCTGGTGGAATGAGGGAGCCTGGTGGAGCTGGTGGAATGAGGGAGCCTGGTGGAGCCAGTGGGACGAGGGAGCCGGTGAAACGAGGGAGCCTGGTGGAGCTGGTGGAATGAGGAAGCCTGGTGGAGCCAGTGGGACGAGGGAGCCGGTGGAACGAGGGAGCCGGTGGAACGAGGGAGCCTGGTGGAGCTGGTGGAATGAGGAAGCCTGGTGGAGCCAGTGGGACGAGGGAGCCGGTGGAACGAGGGAGCTGGTGGAACGAGGGAGCCTGGTGGAGCTGGTGGAATGAGGAAGCCTGGTGGAGCCAGTGGGACAAGGGAGCCTGGTGGAGCCGGTGGGACGTGGGAGCCTGGTGGAGCCGGTGGGACGTGGGAGCCTGGTGGAGCTGGTGGGACGAGGGAGCCGGTGGGATGTGGGGGACGTGGGAGCCTGGTGGAGCCGGTGGGATGTGGGAGCCGGTGGGACGTGGGAGCCTGGTGGAGCCGGTGGGACGAGGGAGCCGGTGGGACGTGGGAGCCTGGTGGAGCCGGTGGGACGAGGGAGCCGGTGGGACATGGGAGCCTGGTGGAGCCGGTGGGACGAGGGAGCCGGTGGGACATGGGAGCCTGGTGGAGCCGGTGGGACAAGGGAGCCAGTGGGACGTGGGAGCCTGGTGGAGCTGGTGGGACGTGGGAGCCTGGTGGAGCCAGTGGGACGTGGGAGCCGGTGGGACGTGGGAGCCTGGTGGAGTTGGTGGGACGAGGGAGCCAGTGGGACGTGGGGGACGAGGGAGCCGGTGGGACGTGGGAGCCTGGTGGAGCCGGTGGGATGTGGGAGCCGGTGGGATGTGGGAGCCGGTGGGACGAGGGAGCCGGTGGGACGTGGGAGCCGGTGGGACGAGGGAGCCGGTGGGACGTGGAAGCCTGGTGGAGCCAGTGGGACGTGGGAGCCGGTGGGACGTGGGAGCCTTATGGAGCCAGTGGGACAAGGGAGCCTGGTAGAGCCGGTGGGACAAGGGAGCCTGGTAGAGCCGGTGGGACGAGGGTCCCAGGTGGAGCTGAGAGGGCGAGGGAGCCCAGTGGAGGTGGAGACAAGGGAATGGCTGGCTTCAGAGGAGCGTGCAGGAGAGGAAGACTGTGTGAGTGACAGAGAAGGTTCGTAGGTGGGCAGGGGTGGATCAGCCATTCGTTGGAATCCAGCTTCACTAATACTCCCTCTGGAGTAAAGGCTGGCTCACACACCTGGTCAGACAGGACCTCTGGCTCTGCTTCTGGGACGGAGTTGGCAGCTGGCTCTGGGAGAAGTTGATGTTCTCGGTCAGTGTCCAGCAGTTGTTTCACCACGGCATCACCAACCAGATCCCGTCGTCCAAACGGATCCAAAATCCCTCCATGAACATGATGTCATCACAGATGGTGTGGTGGCTGGCACTAATAAACTATTTCACATGCTCTTCCAGGTCTCTTCCTCCTTGAAACATGCTAATCATAACCCCATTGGGCTTGGGCAAGATCTCCATTGGTGCAATGTTACTGGATGCAATCTCCATTTTTTTAATTTAATGAAACTATTTAGTTTGACCATTGATTGAGTTCTATTTGAGGTAATTTTTCTCTGTTTCTCGGGTCAGTTTGACACTGATGGCGATGGGAAGATCTCTCTGGATGAGATGAAGGAGGCCATGAAGAATCTGTTAGGAGAGAAACTCAAGAAAGGAGAACTGGAGGAGATCATCAAGGAGCTGGACCTCAATGGAGACGGAACCGTGGATTTCGATGGTGAGGAGATCAATGCCACTTTATACACACACACACACACATACTCACACAATCACACACACACACACACACACACACACACACACACACACACACACACACACACACACACACACACACACACACACACACACACACTCACTCACCTCACTCACTCACAAACACTCTCTCTCTCTCTCACACACACACACACTTTTCCTTGACTTCTGTTGTTTTCTGGCACACCTATTGCTGTTTGTCTGTAATGTTGAGAACATCATTGGCTCCTCTGTGTTCTTCCAGAGTTTGTGATGATGCTGTCGGTGCGATAAAACACAACACCGTCATTAACATCTTCCATCAGTGTTTCCAGCGGCGGATGACACTGGTTCAGACGCACACGAGGAACACAGGAACATCAGGGGTTTTTAAAGTGGTCCTAATATGCCCTTTTATGAAGTCTTGGTTTTGTTTTGGGGGTTACTATATGTTTTCATTCTTCAAAAAAAGCATTATTTTTACATATTTTACATTATTACAGATCCTCTCTCCCCAGTCTGGTTGAACCTGTCGTTTTCGATGAAGCCCCTCCTTCCGAAATACAAAATGTGCTGTGATTGGTTAGCTGGCCCAGTGTGCTGTGATTGGTTAGCTGGCCCAGTGTGCTGTGATTGGCATAATATTGGCCCCGCCCCTTCATAACCGCAAGCTCTACTCAGATGTAAATTTTAACGATGGCGTAAATTTCAAACCATTTTGAGCCCGATTCAGACCCTGACAATGTTAACGAACAAGAGGATCGAGCAGAACAAATTTCACAGGACTTTCAGAGTGGTATGTTTTAGATTTTATATATCTATATATATATACACGATGTTATCCACCATTACAAAACAGTAATTGATCACAAAATCATGGTTAATTTTCCTAAGAGGCGGTGAACAAAAGCAAGAGCTTACAAAAGCTCCAGTGAACACTACATCAATACTGTAATGTTAGTAAGCAGGCGAGCGGAGGCAAAGCTTTTACAAGTTGTGATCCATAAACAAGGGATTTTCCAGACGAAATGGGAACTGCTCCGTCTTTCAGGAGAAGCATTGGTGCGTATAGCTGGCATTGAACTCTGTGTCCTGTTCTCCGTCAAATGTGCAGCGCACAGACAAGCGTTGAGGTTATAATGTTCAGGAACAGTGTTAAAAATACATTTAAACCACTCTTAGTTCGTCAGCCTTAGGACAAGCATTTTCCGGGGGAAAACAGCGACAGCACTCTTCATCTTCCCTCGACCAGGCTCCGCCAACTGTGTGGGCGGGATTATTCAAATGAGTGCCGCTCTGACGTCATACGATCCGGAATAATCGCTCTGTAGTCCAAACGAGCCGGTCGTTGTAGTTCTTGAAAAGTGGATTCTGTTAAATAAAATATCCCCCTCTGCAGTGGACCTTGGACATAGCTTCGTAACCTTGCAGATCCTTTTATGCTCAAACCGCAACATTACACACTAACTTATGTTGAAAAAGTGACCCATTTAAAAGTCGGATTTCCAGGCCTGAAAAATTCCTCAAATTCATAAAAGCTCATCATGGATATTTCTGTAATGAAAATACATTTCTCTGATTTTCCATATTTCATGGATAGCTTTGGTGACTGCCATCTGTACTAATAACTATAATTGTTTAAATCCATAAATTCTGACGATTGGTATATGAAAGGAAATCGCCAAATAATTCCTATAAAATTAGTTTGTAAAATGAATGTCTGTAAAAGTCATGAAAATTCATTAGGGAAAAGTTCTGGTTGAAAAAATGTTTATGAGAGAAAATAATCGAACTCCTTTTGATATTTTCTAAATGACTCGTTAAAGTTTTAACCAAAAATAACGGAACGTTCTGCACTATGTAGATGACTGTCACTTTAAATGGTTAGATGACTGTAACTTTACTGTGATATACTGTCTCTGAAGAGGTGTGTATGTAGATATTTTTATGCATAGACCTTTGAACAAGTGTCAAAATATGTAACAAGTGTATTTTTTAAGTTTTGTTAATAAACAGTAAAAGTTTGAAAAAACGTCTGAATTTATATTCATATAAACATTATAAAAAACACATAAATCTATATTTTAAACGTCACTAAATCAGAATATCATGCCCGTCCGTCTAACACTGTGGGGTTCCTCATTTTAGACTCACACTCAGGACCTTCGGGTCAAAAATGACCCGGAGGGCGGCATTAAGATACATTTTATTTGAGTAAAATCAATGAAATATATTTTTTTTCAATAATATTTTTTCTTTTCTTTTTTGGTGTTTTGAGATAATTTTATAATTTATAATTAATATTTATGCAATAATTAAGACCCATTTTTTCCCATTGAATATAATAGAAAACTTATATATATATATAATTTAAAAAAATTTTTTATTAAAGCTGTATTTCATTTTAGAGTCAAGTCTAGACCTCATGAAAGCAATTTTTGAAATGAGATCGGAGCCATCTGGTGGACACACTGAGCATTTTTAGCACGCAATAGCACATTTTTACCACTAGTGGATTTACAGCTCTCTGTAGAAACCTATGGTAGAAACACTCTAGTGATTTTTTCACATATTGTTTAATTTTTTCAGGTTTTTTATTTGAATATATAATAACAGATTCTCAAAGACTATATTTGTCATTTTTTTTTATTTTTAAAAAAAAAAAATTTTTTTTGGTTGGTTTAAATGGTAATTTTAAGTGGCAGTTTTACTTTATAATACAGTCAAACCTGAACATTGCATTATAAAGAGAACAAATGGAAAAAAATTTGTCACCCATTGTTTTAAGAGATTCACCCCTTCACTGTTGTGTGCTTTTTTTCTGCATCCTGGCTGTTTTGTAGATTGTATGCACAAAAAAACTCTGTATTTTCACATTTTTGCCAATTTCCCATTCATTTCCTATGGGGGTCATTTTTGACCCGAAGACCCTGAGTGTGACTATTTTTTTTACGACCACTTAGACTTTTAAAATCCTTTCCCCAATTTTTTTGGGTGTTCATATACCAAGTACCAAAAAAGTCACCAAGTTTTGGACCATTCCGATGAAGCTACGATTTTTAACATTTTTTTATTTAAACGCTTCGGGTCATTTTTGACCCGAAGAACCCCAGAGGGCTAAATGTTGCTACTCGTTTCAGAACGTTCAGAGAACATTCAAAAGTTACGTTCCATAATGTTTGAAGAATGATACAATGTAACGTTCCCTTAACGTTCACATAACCAAGAAAACATGAGTCTGGAAAATACTGGATGTTTTGAACGTTCAAAGAACATTCAGTAATAAGAGTTTCAGAATATATCTTTGTTATCTGGGACTGTGTTGACATTCCAGTGATCAGATCTCCACTTTCTCACATCCGTTGCCCATTTCCATCTCTGACCGACTGATGTGGAAAGTTCACAGGCTCGTTCACAGAGAGAAAGGGACGGCTAGCGGAAAGAGTCGTGAGGAGCGGAAGGAAGCTCAGAGCTGTTTACCTGGAACACAACAGTGACGCTTCATGTGCAGCGGAACTCACGTCACTGTAGAAATACAGTAGAAATGGAGGAACCAACCAGTGTTTGGTGCTGTTTCCCTGTATTTCAGGAACTGAATGAGATCACTGATAGCAAGTTAAGTGTAGTGTGATAGATAGATAGATAGATAGATAGATAGATAGATAGATAGATAGATAGATAGATAGATAGATAGATAGATAGATAGATAGATAGATAGATAAACAAACAATTCAATATCTTTTGCCGGGTATATGATTATAATATTAAAGTGCACTGTAGCAGGATTCAGTGGAGTTTCTGCGGCCTCTGCTGGTGATCAGCTGAAGAATGACACACACACACACACACACACACACACACACACACCCACACACCCTTTAACAGTAACCGACTATCCAAACCAGTTTAATGTTGTTGTCTGTGTCTGTTCAATTCTGGACACACATCCTGGATTTACACATGTATTGTAGGCCTATTGATTTATTAAACCGTTCTCTTTCTTTCTTTCTTTCTTTCTTTCTTTCTTTCTTTCTTTCTTTCTTTCTTTCTTTCTTTCTTTCTTTCTTTCTTTCTTTCTTTCCATCTTTCTTACAACATCTGCTTAGCGAATTAAAGATTCACGTTAAGATGTTTCTCTGAAATTATGCGCCGATATAATTTTCTCATTTCTATTATTGTAAAGTGTCGAGTTCGCGTCGAGTGTGTTCCATGTTTCCTTCTGTTGTGTTGGCGATGTGAACGCGTCATCCGGGTATTTCCGCGCGCGAGCGGAAGGAGAGTGTCGTTGCGGTGTGTGTGTGTGTGTGTGTGTGTTTGTGTTTGTGTCGCGTATTCTTCAGCGCGGAACATCGGAACACGACCGAGTGACCCGAGCGACATGGACGGTAAGTCGAGTGTTATAACGTCGTGTTTATCCCCCCGGACGGCAGAAACGGGGTGTGTAGGGTCCGCGCGCAAGGGAAAGTCCCGGATCTGAAGTTTAGCTCTCGGTTTCGGCTGAGAGAAACGGGCGATCGGTTATTTCGGGAGTCTCCGGTACAACACACGAAAGATCGCGACGCGTCACATATGACTTTAAAGTTCTGTCACATTACGGACTATTGGTGTTTGTTTGTGTGCGTGCGTGCACACTCACACACACACACACACACACACACACACACACACACACACAGAGAGAGATTGTGAGGACTGATATTTTGATAATGTCCTCACAGATAAAGTGAAACGCGGAAAAGTATGGAAGCCCATTTTGGCCTCATAAAAAAGAATCATGCTTTGGTTAATCATAATTATGACATGAAAAGTCGAAATTGTGATGTTTAATAATCGTGGTAACTGCAGGTTTGTGTGATGGATAAGGGGTGGGTGTTTTTATTGGTTAGTAAACATCATCACCTCATTAATAACATTACGTCACTGAGCGCACAAATAATAGCGAAACTAATCCTGCTTTTACAGCGCCCTCAATCCGAAAGCTTTCTTCTAGAGTATTTGTTTATTATAAATACATATGCAAATAAGCACACTTCAAATCTTTTAAATCTTTTTGATGCCATGGACCCCCAAATATGATAATCCTCAATCAAAGCCCCCCCCCTTAGAATTCAATAGGCAACCATATTTAATGTATAAAGACCCAGTTTGAACTCATTTAAAATGTTATACCAAGATTATAGATTCTATTAAGTAAAAGTCTACTCGCTATTGTACTGTCCTATTAGATGTACGTATTATATATATATATATCTATATATTTATTTTTTAGGGATGCACTGAAATTAAAATTCTGGGTCGGAACCAACAATTTAGGATGCACAATACCGAAAATAAATTAATAATCAATGAATTGATCAAACGTATTTAATAATCAACCCTCAAATTTTTTATTTCAACTTTTTAATAACAAAATTGTTTTTACTTCAGCTTGTTGGTGAAATATAAACATTTAAATGACAATAAACTGTAATAACCTGTTTTTATGACAGATTTATTCAAACATATATTAAATATAGTTGATCCAGAGCGAGTGTCACACCGCGGACACGTTTAACTGTTGTAGTTTGTCCCGAAACACCCGCTGAACACAGTCAGTCCACCAGAGAAGCGCTTATTAAACGTCTGTTTCCCTCCAACACCATTCCAAGCTGAAACCGGAATAAGCTGTTTCCCACGAAAAATTCCTGTAGCTGAAATTTCAGTGCATCCTTAATTTTAATTTATTGGTTTATTTGTTTATTTATTTTAAAGTTTGAAAGCCCCTGGTCTATGGTATTTGCTCATTTACATATTTAAATAAGGCTGACTGTGTGTGTACAGGTTGTGATATATTTTTGTCAGATGTCTTTATGATCATTATGACTGGGTCCCGTGATGAGGGGCCCTACATACCCCTATACTGGCCCACAGACCCCTATACTGGCCCACAGACCCCTATACTGCCCCACAGACCCCTATACTGGCCCACAGACCCCTATACTGCCCCACAGACCCCTATACTGCCCCACAGACCCCTATACTGCCCCACAGACCCCTATACTGCCCCACAGAGACCCCTATACTGCCCCACATACCCCTATACTGGCCCACAGAGACCCCTATACTGCCCCACAGAGACCCCTATACTGCCCCACAGACCCCTATACTGCCCCACAGAGACCCCTATACTGCCCCACAGACCCCTATACTGCCCCACAGAGACCCCTATACTGGCCCACAGACCCCTATACTGCCCCACAGAGACCCCTATACTGCCCCACAGAGACCCCTATACTGGCCCACAGAGACCCCTATACTGGCCCACAGACCCCTATACTGCCCCACATACCCCTGTACTGCCCCACAGAGACCCCTATACTGCCCCACATACCCCTATACTGGCCCACATACCCCTATACTGCCCCACAGAGACCCCTATACTGCCCCACAGACCCCTATACTGGCCCACAGACCCCTATACTGGCCCACAGACCCTATACTGGCCCACAGAGACCCCTATACTGGCCCACAGACCCCTATACTGGCCCACAGAGACCCCTATACTGCCCCACATACCCCTATACTGGCCCACAGACCCCTATACTGGCCCACAGACCCCTATACTGCCCCACATACCCCTATACTGGCCCACAGACCCCTATACTGGCCCACAGAGACCCCTATACTGCCCCACATACCCCTATACTGCCCCACAGACCCCTATACTGGCCCACAGACCCCTATACTGGCCCACAGACCCTATACTGGCCCACAGAGACCCCTATACTGGCCCACAGACCCCTATACTGGCCCACAGAGACCCCTATACTGCCCCACAGACCCCTATACTGGCCCACAGACCCCTATACTGGCCCACAGACCCTATACTGGCCCACAGAGACCCCTATACTGCCCCACAGACCCCTATACTGCCCCACAGACCCCTATACTGGCCCACAGAGACCCCTATACTGCCCCACAGACCCCTATACTGCCCCACAGACCCCTATACTGCCCCACGGACCCCTATACTGCCCCACGGACCCCTATACTGCCCCACAGACCCCTATACTGCCCCACAGACCCCTATACTGGCCCACAGACCCCTATACTGGCCCACAGACCCCTATACTGGCCCACAGACCCCTATACTGCCCCACAGACCCCTATACTGGCCCACAGAGACCCCTATACTGCCCCACAGACCCCTATACTGCCCCACAGACCCCTATACTGCCCCACGGACCCCTATACTGCCCCACGGACCCCTATACTGCCCCACAGACCCCTATACTGCCCCACAGACCCCTATACTGGCCCACAGACCCCTATACTGGCCCACAGACCCCTATACTGCCCCACAGACCCCTATACTGCCCCACAGACCCCTATACTGCCCCACGGACCCCTATACTGCCCCACGGACCCCTATACTGCCCCACAGAGACCCCTATACTGGCCCACAGACCCCTATACTGCCCCACAGACCCCTATACTGCCCCACAGACCCCTATACTGCCCCACAGAGACCCCTATACTGGCCCACAGACCCCTATACTGGCCCACAGACCCCTATACTGCCCCACAGACCCCTATACTGCCCCACAGACCCCTATACTGCCCCACAGACCCCTATACTGCCCCACAGACCCCTATACTGCCCCACAGAGACCCCTATACTGGCCCACAGACCCCTATACTGCCCCACAGACCCCTATACTGCCCCACAGAGACCCCTATACTGGCCCACAGACCCCTATACTGGCCCACAGACCCCTATACTGCCCCACAGACCCCTATACTGCCCCACAGACCCCTATACTGCCCCACAGACCCCTATACTGGCCCACAGACCCCTATACTGCCCCACAGAGACCCCTATACTGGCCCACAGACCCCTATACTGGCCCACAGAGACCCCTATACTGCCCCACATACCCCTATACTGCCCCACAGAGACCCCTATACTGCCCCACAGACCCCTATACTGCCCCACATACCCCTATACTGCCCCACAGAGACCCCTATACTGCCCCACAGACCCCTATACTGGCCCACAGACCCCTATACTGGCCCACGGACCCCTATACTGGCCCACGGACCCCTATACTGCCCCACGGACCCCTATACTGCCCCACGGACCCCTATACTGCCCCACAGAGAGACCCCTATACTGCCCCACATACCCCTATACTGCCCCACAGAGACCCCTATACTGCCCCACAGAGACCCCTATACTGCCCCACATACCCCTATACTGCCCCACAGAGACCCCTATACTGCCCCACAGACCCCTATACTGGCCCACAGACCCCTATACTGGCCCACGGACCCCTATACTGGCCCACGGACCCCTATACTGGCCCACGGACCCCTATACTGCCCCACGGACCCCTATACTGCCCCACGGACCCTATACTGCCCCACAGACCCCTATACTGCCCCACGGACCCCTATACTGGCCCACGGACCCCTATACTGGCCCACGGACCCCTATACTGGCCCACGGACCCCTATACTGCCCCACGGACCCCTATACTGCCCCACAGAGACCCCTATACTGGCCCACAGAGACCCCTATACTGCCCCACAGAGACCCCTATACTGGCCCACAGAGACCCCTATACTGGCCCACAGAGACCCCTATACTGGCCCACAGAGACCCCTATACTGGCCCACAGAGACCCCTATACTGGCCCACAGAGACCCCTATACTGGCCCACAGAGACCCCTATACTGGCCCACAGAGACCCCTATACTGGCCCACAGAGACCCCTATACTGGCCCACAGACCCCTATACTGGCCCACAGAGACCCCTATACTGGCCCACAGAGACCCCTATACTGGCCCACAGAGACCCCTATACTGGCCCACAGAGACCCCTATACTGGCCCACAGAGACCCCTATACTGGCCCACAGAGACCCCTATACTGGCCCACAGAGACCCCTATACTGGCCCACAGACCCCTATACTGGCCCACAGACCCCTATACTGGCCCACAGAGACCCCTATACTGGCCCACAGAGACCCCTATACTGGCCCACAGAGACCCCTATACTGGCCCACAGAGACCCCTATACTGGCCCACAGAGACCCCTATACTGGCCCACAGAGACCCCTATACTGCCTATACTGGCCCACAGAGACCCCTATACTGCCTTTACTGGCCCACAGAGACCCCTATACTGCCTATACTGGCCCACAGACCCCTATACTGCCTATACTGGCCCACAGACCCCTATACTGCCTATACTGGCCCACAGAGACCCCTATACTGCCTATACTGGCCCACAGAGACCCCTATACTGCCCATAGTGGCCCACAGAGACCCCTATACTGCCTTTACTGGCCCACAGAGACCCCTATACTGCCTTTACTGGCCCACAGAGACCCCTATACTGCC